TGATTTTAAATCAGCATTAATTTACCTCAAAAATAGGTATTCTGGGGGATTCTTGCGTACCTCCCCCTCCCCCCGTTTCTCCCTCCTCTCTCTCTGCTCCTTCCCCTTCCCGAGCACCCCTCTCGGGTTTGTACAGTATTATATAGATATCCTCCCCTTTCCCCTCAGACTTGCTCGAAATTTTTCCCTCACTCCCTTAATTCATTACAATTTTTATATTATTCTAAAAAGGTAAATATATAGTTAGAAAAACTGCAAAAACGTACTTATTCTCACAAAATGATTCTCTAATTATGCAGCTAGAAACTCTAACCACTGGTCAGTGAAAACGCACTGGCCAGAGCAGGTGGGTGAAGGACGAGGTACAAAAAATTACCTTTTTATCCCAGATTTGTAACGGTTTGCTTCCAATACTGTAGAGTACGGAAAGAAGACCGCTTTGAAACGTGTTGTGGAACATTTTGCCTGAAAAAAATACCACATTAGTTCATAATAATTTTTATAGCTTTTGACCACGAAACGAAATTCCACGTAAATGCCATAAAGATTCTGAGGGAAATTCGTCTTCAGCTTTTCTCAGCGCAGCTGTAAAATCATAATCACTGATGAGGTCGAATTTTAGCAGATTAACCCAAATATTCGAGTTAGTATTTAAGACCAGATCGGCAAAGATGAAACTCCGGACACCGAGTGGAAGGACTAGCCGATGGGCTGTGCTGTTTCATCCCTTAGCTGTAAACACAGACAGAGTAGTGGACACGAGTGGGGGCGGTGATCACCGGCACGGCCCTACCTCTCAACCGCCATGTGGAAAATAAGCTTATTTTTATGCCAATGAGACTGAAACAGGAAGTAATTATTGATGAGCTAGAAGTGGGAAAACTGATGAAACGGATGGAAGAAAAGATAGTATTTAATCCATCTCAGATTTTCCATTTAACCACCGACTACTATTTAACCTCAGATTTTGCAGTATTTCAGTTTTCGCCGGTATGATACCTCATCGGGGTCCAAAATCGACAACATTCAACAAGAGGTTGTGACAGCTCAACACAGAACCTTTGGAAGAAAGGAAAGTTTCGATCCATTAAGTCGTATACATTCCTGTTCAGCACCATAACTGCACCTCGTCAGTATGACGATTGCGGTATTGCAAAATGAAAATTTACAGCAGAATGGGAAAAAGGTGAAAAAAGTAGTGAAGAGAAGAAAGGAAGACAAAAGTGGAAAAATGCCTATCAAACAAAAAGAGAAACAGAAACACAGTAATGAGAAAAACCACCAATACCCCCGAGATCTTCATAGAACCCGTTCCAGGAATTCCGAAATTTGATCGATCCAGGTTTTTCGCAGCCGGACCGTAAGTTCCCGAGTTCGTGGCCCGGCCGGCCCCAACGATGTATAGGACGGCTGCAGGCGAAGCGGGTGCGGTGTTCCTGTTTGTTCGGTCCTTTCAGTGGCGGATTGGTGTTGGTATACGCTGGAGGGGAGGGAGGAAGAGGGGGATGGGGGCCCCGCAATCCCTTGTCGTACCGACGAAGTCCAGTTGTGGTACTGAAATGGAACGTATACGACTTAATAAACTGAAACATTCCTGTTCAAATTATATTGATTTTTTTTCTTCATATTTCCCACTATTACAATTTACTTTTCGAAAAAATTCCGGGAATTACGTATTATTTATTACTATTATTATCATTATTCCTACTATAATTATGATCATCATTAGTATTTACTAAGGATAATTCCTTTAATTCCTTACTATAATTATTTTTAGCGTTATCATTATTTCCACTACTATCACTTCTAGGTACAAATTGCGTATTATTTATTGTAATTATTATCATTATTCCTATTATTGTTATTATTATTATCACTATCATTCTACGGATTAGTCCTTGCTACAATTATTATTATCGTCATCATTATTATCATTATTTCCACTACTATCACTTCTAGTGTAATTTTAATTTTAGATGATGTGTGTTTATGTAAAAAGTAAGGGTTAAAAAGAAAGGAACAAAAGGAAAGTGAATACGATAAATCGGATTAAAAACCTGAATAGGAATGTTTTGGTCCATTAAGTCGCATACATTCCTCTTCAGTGCTGAAACTGGACCTCGTCAGTGTGACGGTTGCAGCAAAAATAACATGCAAAGTGTCAAAAAGAAAAAATGTAAAAAGGTTAGAACAAACGGTAAAAGTGCATTTAGGAAAACAAACCTCCACCGTTATGGATATTGAACCGATACAGGACTTGTAGGTACAATACTTGGCAAGGGAGAGAGAGAGCTATCGACAGTTTTGCCAGCGAGTGGTTGCTGTTGGTACTAGTTGCAGCTGCGGCTACTTACGGGTAATCCGGCCTCTTAAAGGAGTGGACATTTAGGGGGGGGGGAGTTTAACCCTTGGAACTTAATTTATTTGTAGAGAGTAAGAATTTTTATTGAAATTTTTACAATGAGCACGGAG